CAAAAAGAAAAACTTGTGAGATCTGAATTAAAAAAACCCAAGATGAGACTAAAACTTGTGCATAACACCAAGTAATACATAGAAAGATGAGAGAACTGGCAAGAAAATCTGATCTATCAACAAAAACAGAGAGCACTTCAGAATTCTGAATCATTAAAAGCACTGTAATCCCACAATAAAAGCAATTGCTTATCTGACACTAGAGCTCTGACATAATCCACAAACCCATAACAACGAGCAGTTTACAGGAGTCAGGGGTGTGTTTCAACAAAGGAAGTCCTGGCTGTTCACCTATTTGCTGGTTTAGTTTTTACAATTTTGGGCAACTCAATTCTAGTTCTACTGCTAACCCTGTAAGTAAACTCTCAACTTTACAGCAATTTTTTCCATCTCAGTTGTTCAGGCAATGTGTAACTCATTCTAAAAACAAGTTGCAGAAGGTCAGACCTTAACAGAAAGCAACTTTCAACAAGCTCCATCCAAAATCACCTTATTACATATACACAGTGCTGTCTCATAAGCATATTTTATCAATTTAGGGATATCACAAAAACTGAAAACAAAGATGTGCATTGACAGACCCTGCACATGCAAATACAAAACCAGATGCAAAACCAACTAAAGCAATTTCTCTAGATTTTTATTACAAACTTTATTATTTCTATCTTGTTAAAAGATCAATATACCAAAATTATTATAAAAGGATCTAATACAATAGAATTAATATATAAAAAATATCAACTTAATATGCAATCTCTCAAATGGTCTGACAGTATTTTCAGTAAATCATTTCTACAGTAACCTGCAGTGAACCCTAGCTAGGGGCCTAATACCTTCCAGTTCAATGAAACACTGGAGGTACTAAACAACTTGTCCCTTCCCTCTTTCTTCTGGACCTAACAGGGTAGGGGAATCCTTCTGTATTCATGTGCAAAGTAAGTTATATGCTTGACAGTTTGATCAATTCCTGAAGGTACCATTTCATCCATGGGATTAACACACAGCTTTACACCGACTGAAGACAGAAAGGAAAAAGGGAGCAAAAAAGCATGCAAACACGGATACATGAATCCTTCACCTCTTTCCAACTAGAACAGATCACTTCAATGCCATACATGAGACAAAAAGCAGATAAGAAGTTCTAACTGTGAAATTATCTTGCTGCTTGAGATGCAGATGAAGGTTAAAAATTTTATGAAAAGTTAAAGCTGAAAAAAGGTGAAAACATGAACAAAATACAGAAATGGAAACAGAACATGTAATTGAAAAAAAAATTCTTAATTTCCACATCTTAAAAAAATCATCACATGAAAGCACTATGCCTGTTCTCTTTTCATTATCATTTATGTAAATCCTAATTCACAATTAAAATTAAACAGATGATTAAATCACGCTTGTAGGCAGCTTGTAGAAAACATAACAGGCCTACTCACATACATAAAGTTAAGTCCAAATACTGCATATATTCACACGCTTCAAGAGGAGTAATCTAGAAGGAGAAACTACAGCCTGAGAAAAATCATTGGCTCCGAATATGCACTGTGGATTACCTTTACAATCCTGAAGCATAAATAGCAATAATGAACAATAACGGTGCATCCGAATTTTGACACGCAAGCACTGACAGTATGAGTCATCATAACTCACTTTTTTCCCCGGAAAGATGCTACTTTTGACGTAGCATCTTACTTGTGCAGTGTTAAAAATAGATTTGGCTACTAAGGTACAGTATTAATGAAAGAAAGAAAACAACTTGGCCTTTGTCCCTTATTCAGCTCTCTTCCTGGAAAAACTTTGCCGAGCTGTTACGCAGATTAATTTGCCCCTAAAAGCGAGCCATGCCAAGCCTCCCGCCCGCTCCTCCCTCGATCGAGGTTACTTCTCTCTCCCCACCGGAGCTGGTAACACTGGTAACACACACACAAAAACAAGCCCCGCACAATGCCAGTGCCAGACGCCTCGTCACAAACTGAAGAGGCCGCTCCCAGCAACTTTGGGTGACTGATAACAGTTTCTTCTTAAAGAATTTAAACTTACTTTTTTTTTTTCCTCTTCCACAATTAAGGCTTAGGAAGTCATGGCAAGCAACATGAAAATTCATGGGGTTTTTTCCAAGAAGGAAGGGAACAATAAAGCAAGCCCCCGGGCAAGGAAAGCCGCACGGCTGATGACCAAGCTTGCTTTGTCAAGGGAGGTGCAGCTGCAGACACCGGAGCGGCAGGGCAGGACTCCGGGCAGGACACGGCAGGACACGGCAGGACACAGGGCAGGACTCCGGCCTCCCCGGACACACCCGGCCCCGCCTGCCCCCAGTCGGCTTTCCCCGCGAAGGCTCCGCCGCCATCCCCTCCCGCCCGAGCCCCCTCGGCTCCCGCCCGCCGCACAAAGGTAGCCCCGCCCCACTGCCGCCCTCTACACAACCCTGCCGGGGGCCTGCGGCCTCCCGCCCCGGGTTCCAAGCGGCGCTCGGTCCGCGCCCTGCCCCGGCCCCGCCGCACTCCACCGTACCCGCAAAGAGCTGCGCGCCGCCCCGAGGGAAGAAGCGCGGGGCCGGGGCGGCCCAGGGCGCGCCCAAGTCCCGGCAGAGCCCGGCTCAGCACAGGCGCACAGCCGCTGCCCGCATAGCCCCTGGCGGCCCACGCCGCCAGCACCGGCCTTGCCCAGCCGCCCAGGCCCTGCTCCGTCCGCTCAGCAGCGCCGCTCCCCGGCGGCCATCGTTCTCCGCCCGCCTCCCCGCGCCGGCCCAATCCCTCCCCAGGCGCCCGCGGGGTCCCGTCGCCCTCCGCCCCCGGTGCCTGGCGACCCGTAACCTGGGGCTACAATGGAGTGCTGGGAGCTCGCCTCTGCCGCGGGAGGGCCGGGCCTGCGGCTGGGGAGGGGCCGGGGGCCTCTGGGAGGAGGCGGAGCGCGGAGGGTGGTGGGTGGCTGGGCGGGGAAAGCCGGGGCCGACACTCGCGGGCTGGGGGGCCGCGCCCGGCGAGGCGACGGGGCTGCGGCGGGAAGGGCAGCGGGGCGGCCTCGGCTGCGCCCGCCGAGGGAGCGCCCGCCCGCGTGCCCGGTGTCCGCGCTCCGCGTCCCGCTCGGCTGAAGCCAAGGACAGAAGAGGTAAATTAGACGCCTCGTAATTTGAGCGCAGTGGGTGCAGCGCCGTCCTGAGCGGCAGAGATTTCGGGTGTCAGAATCCTCCCTCCCCCGGGGACAGTGCACCCTGCGGCAGCGCTCTCTCCTCGGGAGCTCCGCTGGAGCCCGCCGGCCGCCGCTCACCTGCAGCCGAGCTCTGCGGCCCCGCCGCGCCGGGCACTGCATTCGCTTCGCAGGCTGGGCGTAGAGGTGTAAATGCTGGGTAAGATCGGTTGCCATATATTTGATTTTCTGCGGAGATTTCTGGGGGAAAGTCGTGGATGGGTCTGGTTGCTTTAATTCCTTTCTAGGAAAAAAACCTCACAAAACCAACACAAAAAAAGAAAAAAAGAAACCCAAAAAATCCCCACAAAAACCAAACCAAAAAAACCCCACCGCCCCCCAAACCCCACTGTTTGAAGTTCTGGTAATGTGTTTTCTTTAGGTGTATCTATTTTACTATGTCTTATTTTTCAAAGCTAAGGGGAAAAAAAAAAAAAGGTGGTATCTTATAGAAGGAAATTCACAGAACCCTCCCGTCATAAAAAGGTAGAAAGATGGGCCAGATGAGTTACCTAAGGTTATTTCTGCACCCAAAGATGGAATTGAAGATGTAGCAGAAGTAGCTTTAAATTAGTCAGCTTTCGTGAAATTTCCTGTTAAGAAGTGGCAGCATACTACTTCGTATTTTCAAAAGGGAATCAACATAATCTGTCAGGGAATGCTGGTTTCCAGTGAGGTCTGTGCTGCTATAGAGACGCTCTTACCCATACCTGAGCTACCCAGTTAAAACATTTGTGTCTACATCAAGTACACCCACGCTTTTGGCCTTCGTTTAGACACAGAACTGTCTCTCAAGTTAACTCATCCTGGTTGGAGCAAGGCATTTGTTATTTTTCACCTAAATCAACTGGTTGGATTTAGAACTGTGGGTGCCTAATTTTAACACAGTATGTTAACTACTGCAAAAATGTCCTCATGGGATTCTAGTTGGAGGCACTCTGGGTTTTTTCCAGTTCCTAGTGTACATAAAAGTGAAGACCAAGCCGGACAAAAAGAGGACAGGATAAATGGCGAGCTCTTAATTCTGATTTCCACCCTATTGCCTTTGCCAGTGCATCAGAAAGGCTCATCCCCTGGTGTCTGACAGAAGGCACACTGCTGGGTGAGTACCTCTTCATGATCTGTCTCCTCCCTTTCTGAAGCAACTGGGGGGTTAAGAGGTTGTGAATTGCAGTCATTCTGTTAAATTGGATGTATGGTAGAAATGCTTATGCCTTTATTGTTAACAGATGCTATAGTCATGCTATATCATTTACCATGTAGGGGTGAAAACTATAGAAGTATACAGTTTCAGGCAATTTATTCTTTTTTCAGGTCCTGACAGAGAGTTCGCTAACCTCATGTAGCCAAATGTATATGTTTAGCTAATGCTGACCAGGTTTATATTTAGCTGCTCTGATAAATCCTGCCTTTTCCTATAAGTCTTGCCTAGTATACATAGGGGCAATCCTGGGAAAGCAACATAGACTGCACCTGCAAAACTGTGGTGGTCTGCTAATAGCTGGATCTAAAACAAGCGTTTCTGTAGTTGTGGTGATGAAAGATTGCACCTCCTCATGCACCTAATATAAGTATTGCAGCAGAGGTCTGCAATGGAGGTCACGCCTATTTTATCCACTGTAAGCTTCTTTAGTGGCTGTTCCATGGCACTGGTGTGTCGTGGTTTAACCCAGCTGGCAGCTAAGCACCATGCAGCTGCTTGCTCACCTCCCTCCCCTCCAAACCCAGTGGAATGGGGAGGAGAATCAAAAGTAAGACTTGTAGGTTAAGAACAGTTATTATATTTTGAAACTAAATTATAATAATAATGATAATAAAAAGACAAGTGGCACACAATACAATTACTCATCACCTGCTGACCAATGCCAGAACCTACCCACAAACCCCAATCGGCTCCTTCTGGGTAGCTCCCTCAGTTTATATACTGGGCATGATGTTCTATGGTGTGGAATATCCCTTTGGCCAGTTCAGATCACCTGTCCTGCCTATGCTCCTTCACAGCTTTTTGTGCACCTCCTCACTGGCAGAGCATGAGACACAAGGAAGTCCTTGGTTTAGGATAAACATGTCTTAGCAACAATGAAGACGTGAGTGTGTTATCCACATTATTCTCGTACTGAATCCTAAAGATGGCACTGCGCCAGCTACTGAGAAGAAATTAACTCTATTCCAGCCAAAACAGGACACGCTGATGTTTATTCAGAGCAGGTTGGGTTCTTATAATCTGACCTCTCTCTATTTCAATTTATACTAGCCAAAATTACAATCATTCACTGTTTTGGATATCCTTTCCATGTTTTAAAGATATTTTTAATAGGACACCATCAGCAAAAGTTAAAAGGACTTGCAGTAAAATTGGCTTCTCAGTCTAGTCCAGGAACTAAGATTTCTTCCCATGAAATTTTAATTGCTCATAGACAGTTGGTGCTTTCTGCTTTCTTCATCTGCCCTAGTGGAAAAACAGGTGTTATCTAAAAGACCAAATGAGCCTAAATATAATTTAGAGTAAGTGTGGAAATTATTCAAATATTCCCATGAAGAAGCCTTACAAAGTAGCAGTGTGGAGATCCCTCTTCAGGATATGTGACATCAATGTACAGAGAAATTGATCTTCAAAGTAGGCAGGTTACAAATAATTTAAAATAAAACTAGTATTTTATACTTGTCTTGAAAGCTAAGAGACAGCAAGTGTAGAACTCTTAAGTACAGTCTTGATAGGCTTCTAATGGAAGCGTGTTTTTGCTACCTAGATAAAATTCTGGACTAAATTCAAATTGTAATTGTATATAATAGGGCTTTGTAGCAAACTGGCCTTGGGCTCAAAAAAAGCATAGCTTATGATTGTTATTTCCACTCCAAAATAAATAGCAGCAATTTCATGATGTGGCATATATAAAAAAACCTGTCTATTGACTGCTCTCAGTAGAAAAATACTGAATGAATAAAATTTTAAGATATTAAAGGTAATGAGGCCAAGGAGACATTTCCTGTTGACTTCAGTCAGTCCTGTCAATTCTGTATGTTTCCAATTTTCTCATTCATTGTTTCTTTTCTTGTTATGTAAAGGATGTCTTCCAGCTGCACACCTTAACTGAAGATAGGTAAGCCTATGGAAAATGACTAGCTTTACTCTGAGTTAATCACACAAGTGCATACATCCCCCTACATGTGGTGTTAATTTTTTATTATGGCAACTATAAAAAGATGGAAAGGTGCTACCGTCTGTGTCGGACAGTGATCTGGCACACATGCCTAAAAAAAAAAATCTTTCATTCTGTGTATTTTCCCTAGTTAGTTGAAACCAGTTCTGGTTTTAATCATGTTGTATATGCATTGAGTCCTTAATTTTAACAACAGTTACTTTATTGCATTGTATTTTTTGTTTTTAACAGTGACATAATTATCCTGTTACTTTGACTGAAGGAAAACCCTGTCCTCAGCTGAAAACATACCAGTACAGTGTGTGTAAGTCCTTATTGTTTAACTTTCTGTATGTGAACAATACAAAGTTTAGAATATTACTGGTCAACTGGACAGGCTATTCAAAGACTAGAAATTGCTTTATGCTTATCTAAGGTGCAGGTCGAGTCCCCTTTAACGTGACTATGCAATTAATCAGCAAATTTTTGCTATGTCACTTATAGTATTGAACAATATTACACTCTCCACATGTTCAATATAGTTGATACACTGTGTAGCATGTTGGTAATCAAAACAGGTGTTAGTAAGACTTAAAGAAGTCTCACCCAGCCTTATAATTTGTATTAATTATATCTCTCCATTATTATACCTTATATAACCTTTCTTCATTCTTAGCTAATCATGTTTTGTGTTAACAGTTTTACTATTTGTCAGGCCTCTGTACCTATAATTACCCAGATGTTCTGATACAAATCCTAGGAAAACAATGTTTGTTTTGTCTATAAATATCACCATAATTCAATGCCTTTTTCTTGGCAAGCTATACTTAAAAATTGTCCTTTTTGATCCATATGTGGAGATTAGTAATTTCTACTGAAGTTGTTACATTGGCTGTTGTGTGTATTATTATATAATTTAATTTTCTGTAATGTTTTTGTCTCTCTTAAAAAAAAAATTATCACAGATGATGTACATGCCTTGTTAAAGGTCATTCTCCCAACCACAATTGAGACTAGCCTAAGTATTCTTGCATTTTTTCCTATTGCTTGTGAAATGCTAGCTCCCTGTTACTCAGTTTATGTTTATAGTGTATTAGTATCTTTAGGTTCAACCTAGTCTAAGAAAATGTACAACCTATACTATAAATTGACTTTGTAAAACAGACCTACAGCTATTAAACTGTATGCTTTTTTTAAGCTAACTTGATTACCAGAAATACATGTTTTTCACTTACCACAACTATAGCAAAGGTAGCTATGGACAAATTCAACTCCCAATAATTGAATAGATTCTTCTTGTTTAAATACATGTTTAAATGATGTTTTCTGTGTTTGTGAGAGACATGTTATATTTTGAGGAAAAATCTGACTTTTGTACCAGAAAAGAACAAAAAAGCAGAAGTTGGAAGAAAATATTTCCTGAGTTCCAGTGCTACATTCTTTTGTATGATCCATTTGAAGGAGTATAGAGCAAAAGGTAAAGATTCAGATTATTTGCATATCTGCATTTGAATTTTCAGTCTAGCAGTATCTACTACACAATTGTCTGTATGAATAATTTTTGCTCTTAGCATAGATGGAATACAAAAAGACAAGTAAGAGTAAAGGTGGTCTCACTATGTTTGCCATGGACATTGTTCTTATATTTATTTTCCCACTTGATTAAATCCGTACTTAGCTGAAGCAAAATGTATTATTGTGATTTTTAGTGTTTCATTAGAGGGGAAAAAAGTAGCAAGTCTTAGTAACATGAACCCACCAAACTCATTTTGGTTTGAAAGTTAAGCTCCAAGACTGTTAGAAAATACAAGTTCCTTAGTTGCCTGTTGTGGTTTAACCCCAGCCAGCAGCCAAGACCCACACAGCCACTCGCTCACTCCCCCACCTGTGGGATAGGGAGGAGAATCAGAAGGGCAAAAGCTGGAAAACTCGTGAGTTGAGATAAAGAGAGTTTAATAGGGAAAGCAAAAGCTGCACACACAAGCAAAGCAAGGAATTAATTTACCACTTCCAATGGGGAGACAGGTGTTCAACCATCTCCAGAAAAGCAGGGCCACATCACGTGTCATGGTTACTCGGGAACACAAAACAGCATCACTCCAAAGGTCCTCCCCTTCCTTCTTCTTCCCCCCCCCACTTTATATACTGAGCATGATCCCATAGGATCTGGAATATCCCTTTGGTCAATTGGGGTGACCTGTCCTGGCCATGTCTCCTTTCAACCTCCCATGCACTCCCAGCTCCTCACGAACATGGCAGCACAAAAAGGCCTTGGCTCTGTGCAGGGCCTGCTCAGCAATAACAACATCTCTATATTATCAACCCTGTGTTCAGCACAAATCCAAAACACGCCCCCATACCAGTCACTGTAAAGAAAATTAACTCTACCCCAACCAAAACCAGCACACCTATGCATATAAATTTTGTTTTGTTACAAGCTGTTCCTACAGAATCATTGCCTTATTTCTAGGTTTGAGGTCAAAAGGCTAAAAATTGATGTTGAAGGGCAGTAATTCATCTGGCAGTTACTAAGTTCGAAATGTCTGTCCTTGCAAAGTAGTTGTCTTGTAATATATACTATACATACTTTCAAATTGTATTGCTTTCAGTGGCATGCAAGCAGTAAAATCTTATATGGGGTAAACAAAATACTTGCCCAGAAAGGCTTGAAATGAAAATTTTTATTAATTCTTACAAAGTTTGCATAGCTCTTGTCCTGTTGCATCATCAGCCTACATTCAGAATGGCAGACAAAATTTCTTGAATGTTAATGCTTTCTGATCAATGTCTGCTCGCAGCAGAATAGGAATCCAATGCTTCATGTCCTTTTCTGTGAAAGTAATGTATTTCTCAGATCCTGTTCTTTGTGCCTAGTATAAGATTGATTGGCTCTGACATTGTTCTAACTCTTCAGATTAATGGTAGAGGAGCATAACGTAATACTGCTTCATGTCACTGTCAGAAAAATTACTGCAAGCCTTAAGGGTTAGGATTTGTTTGTTATTAATTTTAACAATTCATGGAGGAGGGAGATGTAAATTTCAAAGCAGACAACTTAGGGAAAAAAAAAAGAGTGTGGACACTTGCAAAATTATAGATGGGTAATCTGAATTTCAGGAACTGGGAAGGCCCGAGAAGAACAGCAAAACACTGTAGCACCATAGGCCATAACAGGTTGATGACAGTGTGACAGTCTGTAGGAGCCAGTACAGATTTGTTGGAAAAAAAGTGTGTCAGACCAGTTGAATCTTCTATAACATCTGCTTCTTCCTCTCTACCTGGAAGACCTGTTATCCTGTCATAGATCTCCACCTAGCAAAGCTTTTAATAGTGCCTCTCAGAGGAAGCTGTCACGGGGAAGCCAGGGTGATATAAATCAAACTGCTAGTGAGAGGGTGTAATTTTGTACTTGGCAAGTGGCTCAGATGATCTAGTTTCAAAGCAAAAGGATGGATGTGATGCACCCGTGATGCTTTGTCCTGAGCCCTTACTTACTTTCATTGTGATATAAGACTTTCACAGGAATCGATCAGGCAACACCCACCTGTAAATATATAGAAAGTTAGGTGTAGAATTCAGTGATGTTGATGAGTTGTGCTGGAGACCAGCCTGAGTTGAAGTGTGAACAAGGTACAGAGGGTCCAGAGAGGAGCTCAGCAGGCACGGCCCAGCTGGGGATGGGGTCTGCCCAGCTGTGGTTCTGCTGCAGACACGTGGCAACCTGAACTGGGGCACCACGGACCGAGGACACAGCAGGTGCCCTGCTGGGAACAGTGGACGCTGTGCTCCACCATGTAAATTAGAAATATGATTAATTTTTTTAAACTGGTAAAGTAATGCTTCCACTCCACAGGGCATTTTTTAGGCACGCTTCTCCAATTTTGTCGTGATGTTTGAAGAAATTGTGGACTAACAGGAGAGCTAGTGGGGACAGAAGAATGACTGGAGGGCTTGACCTGCGAGGGAGGGTTACGTCGATGATGTGACTGTTGAAGACTGATGTGCGCGGCGAGGAGTTGGGCTGCCCTCAGACCCGGGGCTGTCAGCGGCAGCTGCAGAGGAGGCCGGACGCGGCCCCGTTGGCCCTGGCGGTAGCTGGGAGGAGGAGGTGCGAGCCGGGCGGGCGGAGCGCGGTGTGGCTGCCCTGGCGGGCGGGGCCGCCATTTGAAATGCCGTCCCGTGTGCCCCGCGGCCGCCGCTGATTGCCGGGCGGGCGCCGCGCGGTTCGAAGTGGCGGTCGCGCGCGCGACACGTCCCGCTCCGGCAGCGCCTCGGCTCCCGCTCCCGGCATGGCTTCCTTCGGCTCCCAGGGCGGCGGCGGCACCGCCAAGAAGGAGGAGAAGGGCAAGAACATCCAGGTGGTGGTGCGATGTAGGTGAGTGCGGCGCGGACCCTTGGGCGAGCGTTGGGGCCGCCCCGGGGAGGACCCTGGTCGGTCCCTGCGGGACTCGGGCCCGGGGCGGTTCGCGGCGCTGCGCCGGGTCCGCCGCGGGACAGAGGCGGCTGTGGCTGTGCCGTGCCCCGACCGTGGGTCTCTGTCTGCCGGCGGTACGCCGAGCCCCCCCGGGCGTTGGTGAGGCGGGAGGCGGCCCCGTGTGCCCGCGAGCGATCGGCACTGCCGCACGGTAGCGCTGCTGCGAGCGAGCTCGTACGGCTCGGAAAGGCGAAAAGGTGCAGTTCCCGAATTTGGTTCGTTGCACAGCGGTGTAAAGCTGCGTGGGAAGCTTAAGGAGAGCTACATGAGAGTTAGTTATAGGACTGCTGTTCAAGGCGCACAAAAACCCAAGCTGAATTTTTACCTTCCGCAGGAAGCCACTACGCTTTAACAGCTAATGGAATTGTTGCTACTCCACTTCCTTATATCTCTAATATAATTTCATTGGTGCGGACTCTCCAGTCGAAAAAGCTATGGGATGGGGGTCAACCGTTCAAGTAATAATGGCCAATTATCTTTTTGATTATATAAATTTATTTCTTGTATGAAGTGATACATTTCGCATACCATAAAATTAAGTTCTCATTGTAATTTCGAGGTGACTTTAAGGAATTGCTCACTGACAGTAGATCTTAAATAATCTTAAAGCATTGCTTGTTAAAGCTGTAATACTGGTAATGTGTTAAGAATAGGGTTTGAAATACCATTAGAAGTTGGGGTGGTTTTTTGAGCCAGAACTGCAAATGTTAGCTTGCATATTATGTTTTAATGCCTTTTACAATCACGTTCTCGAGCTTGTGAGTTCTACTTTTACAGATGCACAGTGAAAATAGAAATTTAAAGCAGTTTTGCCTTATTTTTGCAATACGACTAAAACAGTTCTGTAACAAATATTAGATTGGTGGAAGTGTTGATGTGAGTCAAGGCTATTGCAAAAGAATAAATTTATTGAAGCAATTGAGTTTGAAACAGTCAAGAGCAATAATTTTCTTTTTCATCTGGTTAGTCTCTGTTGTTCTGGAATAGCCTCACTAAGTATCAGTGTATTTTTATTTTATGTGACAGTAGCATCAGGGCTGTCCATGATGTAGTGTTCTGCTTTTGTTGCAACTCATAGTCTTAGCTCCTATGTCAAGATTTAGTCTCTAACCCCTACAAACTTTCTTGCCCACCCTTGCTCCTGCCCCTTGTAGAGCTTTTCATTTTTTAGTAGCTTCAGTGCCCTTGAGCTAGTAAGTGTTTTTTCCACTTTTCCTTTTTCTTCTTCAAGTCAGGTTCTTCTTATCTTATAGATATGTAGGTAGATGCATTTGTGTTTGTTTGTATCCTAATTTGCTCCCAAAAACTGATCTTTCTGAGCATATCAAAAACCTTTTCAAGCAACACGTTTACTGTGCTTTGGTAAAACATGAATTTGGAAACTTAAAATGCATGCATTAGCATTATTAATATGTGTGATATTAACACATACATTGTTCCTCGTATCACAGTTGTGGGCTATCCTACGTCCTGCATTGTACTGGTTCACTCTTATGTTGTTAAATAGCAGAATATATTCATTATTCAGCCTTCTGTTATTTTAAAAGTCACAAAACTGAAGCTGTAACTTCCTCTTGCTAACAAGATTTTAGTGATCATCTGTTGTCGCCAGTCAATCTTGCACCAAAGTGTCTGGTGGTCTGTTTAGAATCTGACACTTCAACCTCAGTTCTATGTTGAGGAAGAAATATTAACCACAAGAGTCAGGAAACTCGAGATGCCATGTACTTGTGGCTTTTTGGGTTGTTTGTTTTTGTTTTTTTCTTTAATGTAACTTAGCACCTGAAGTGTCTCTGTTAAAATATTTTAAAGGCTAATAAGGTTGTAGATGTTATGTTTTCAAGTTAACTGTTCAGGTAGCATAGACATTCAGTGCAGTAGTGCTAATAAATGAGTAATAAAATGGGATTTCATGCCATTAGTTTTCAGCCCACAGTCATCTCCATGCTTTTTAGGAGAAATTGTTGCAAATGTCCCTTCAAGGAAAATGGTGTGCATCGGGTTTGAATTAACTTAGTGGTGAAACAAAATGCACACCATAAAGTTCCAAAAATTTTATTGCATCTCTATTAAACCTTTTTACTATGATTGAGTTTTAATTAATGGAGACTTTTCCCCCCAAAATCTGTTTTATCTGTTTTTAATTAAATTCTGTTCAAATGCATCAGCATTATAAATGTTCTGTTCTCTGTTCCGCAATTAGTAGGGTCTGTTGGTATTTCTGGTGCTTCAGAGTCTCATGTCATTGGCATGAGATGTAGGCATCATTGCTTGTGTAAATGAAAAATAAAAAAGGAAATTTTTAAAGTTAGTTTGATTCACTATTGCACTAACTTGCATGTATAAGTGTTTTCCTTTTTTGAATGCTCTTATTTATACAACTATTTGGGATGTTAAATCTTCTACCCCCCTTGCAGTTGAACAACGTGTTCTAATGCATCTTAGCTAGATGTGCATCTAAATGGCCTTAAAAATGGTTATAGGCCTGTTAAAAATACATACATAACAAACAAAATGCTGTAGACACTTGATTTGTTCCACAGCGATAGAAGGCAGGGTCTTTAAACTGCCAAAATGTGGCTTTTTTTTCCTTAAACAATTATTAAACAAACTAAGTTAACTATGTTCCTTTTACCCAGTTATTCTATTCTAGATCCTTAAACTGAGTGATGTTTCTGCTTCTTCAGTTTGTGTTCTTGTTAGCAATGATATCAATCCGATTTTCTTAACTCCTGTTTTTTTAGGCCTTTTAATGCCTCAGAACTTAAAGCAAGCTCCCATCCTGTAGTAGACTGTGATCAAGCAAGAAAGGAAGTTAGTGTCCGCACTGGAGGAGTGACAGATAAGACATCAAAGAAGACTTACACATTTGATATGGTTGGTAACTGCTTGTCAAGTTTGGAACTTCTAGAAATGAGCTAGTACATTTCTCTGATATGGTCTCATTACTGTACAGTGTGATGCTATACATTATTGTATGGATAAATGGGATGTGTTGTCTTTGTGCCAATAGGTTTTTGGACCTCAGGCTAAGCAGATTGATGTGTACCGGAGTGTTGTGTGTCCCATTTTGGATGAAGTTATTATGGGCTACAACTGTACAGTGTTTGCGTAAGTAAGCCAGTAGTGATTATTAGGGAATTTTATTTGAATTTTAGTTTCTTGTTTACATTTTTATTTTTACTCTCACAGTTATGGCCAAACTGGTACTGGTAAGACCTTCACAATGGAAGGGGAGCGGTCACCCAATGAGGAATATACTTGGGAAGAGGTATTATTTCACTCCAGAGATTTCTCTTGTCTGCACTATAGTTCAAATTTAGAAACTGCAGAAAGCTAAAGAAAACTGAGAGCTGGTGTCCTTCAAATCCTGAAGCTGACTTTCCTTGACTGTTTGTAGATTAACAAGTGGTCTCATTCATTCAAGTGAAAAGCAAAACTTTGCATCTTTAATGTATTGCATACAACTCTTGGCAATTTTTATGTGGAAGATCATCTTTGTCCCAAGTATTCTTGCTTATATCCAATCAGGCTGTTTAGCTGAAACTCCACCCCGTAACCCCAAGTGCATTTATAAATTAAATACTTCTTTTTTATTTGTAGGATCCACTAGCAGGCATAATACCCCGTACATTGCATCAAATATTTGAAAAACTCACAGAGAATGGTACTGAATTTTCAGTGAAAGTCTCTCTTTTGGAGATCTATAATGAGGAGCTTTTTGATCTTCTGAATCCTACTCCTGATGCTGGAGAAAGACTGCAGATGTTTGATGACCCTCGAAACAGGGTTAGTGCTTGCAAAATTTGTGATCTTAAGGCTTTCAGGATTGTTGAGAGATGTATAATAAGCATGTATTACTTTCTGACAGCGGGGTGTAATTATCAAAGGCTTGGAAGAAGTAACTGTACACAACAAAAATCAAGTCTACCAAATCCTGGAAAGGGGTGCGGCAAAGAGAACAACTGCAGCTACTTACATGAACCAATATTCCAGGTACAGATCTTCGTCGTTTCAGACTTTGTATTTTGTTCTTTATTAAAGAGGATCTTATTGAAGAAGCAAAAGATGATTGAAGCTAGTCCAAACCTGGCATGATCTTGAGATTGTGTATCACAGTGCAGAGTGTCAAATGTGGGTTAGAAAGCCAGAGTTAAAACTTCCTCCTTATGGCATCCAGTGGGATGATTGTAATTGGTGTATGAAGGGATATCGTGATTTAACCCCAGCCAGTAGCCAAGCACCACACAACTGCTTGCACCTGCAGGATGAGGGAGAGAATTGGAAGGGTCTGGAAAACTCATGGGTTGAAATAGAGACAGTTTAATAGGGAAGGCAAAAGCTGCACACACAAGCAAAGCAAGGTATTAATTCAGTGCTTCCCATGGGCAGGCAGGTGTTCAACCATCTCCAGGAGAGCAGGGCCCCATCACGTGTGATGGTTACTTGTGAACACAAATGCCACCACTCCAGACCTCCACCCCCCCCTTTCTCCTTCTTACCCTCACTTTATACACTGAGCATGATGCCATATGGTCTGGAATATCCCTTTGGTCAGCTGAGGTCACCTGTCCTAGCTGCGTCTCCTTCCAATCTCCCGTGCACCCCCAGCCGCCTCACCAGCGTGGCAGCAGGAAAAGGCCTTGGCTCCGTGTAAGCCCTGTTTAGCAATAACAAACCCTCCATATGGTCAGCACAAATCAAAAGCACAGCCCCATACCAGCCACTGTGAAGAAAATTGCCTCTACCCCAGCCAAAACCAGTTCAAAGAGCATTATAAAATCTGAATACTTCTTGTCTTAAAAATGGGCAAGACATTTCTCCCTGTGTGATTTTTAACATAAGCTTCTCCTCTTCTTTAGAGTTTGCATACTTTGTTATTAATATATCCCTTGAAAATACGCAGTGGCTATTTTGAACAGTAGACCTGGTATTCCACCTAAATCTAGCTCTGATAAAAGTGTCACAACATTCTTAACTGGTCATCTAGAGTATTGAAATTTCTTTCTCAAAGTTGCAAAGTTAACTTTTTCAAAGCCTTCTGTGACTATGAAAACAGAAGACATAAATCTGACAGATAAATCACTGAAATACATTGCATGTACTAGCGTGAGATAAATATTCTCTGCAGTATATACTGTACATTTCAAGAAGGCTGTAGTCCTTTCATGTCTGGAAGATGTTTAGTTGATATACCTGTATTGGAGAGGGGGGTTACCTTTGTTCTAGCTCTTACAGGTGATTGGGTGTTTTGGCCAATCCCATTTACAAAATAAAAGCCTGGTATAAGCGTATCGAATATCCTTTCCTTTCCTCATCAGCAGTAGAAAATGGTACATTAGGATTTGTTACAGAAGTTGAAATTTCAAAACACTGATAAGATCTGCTTTTTACAGGTCAACACAAGACGCTCATTTCAAACCCTGGCTTCTGAAAACTTACAAAACTAGATTGTGGAAGTTGGGGATAAGGTTGAGGAGAGGGTTTTGTATGGTAATACAGGCTATTTCATATGATTGCAGGTCATAGTCAGAATCTAGTAGAGACATCTGGGTCAAAAATAGCATTTTTTTTTTTTTATTATTACTGCTTTCTCATTCTTCAACTGCAGATAGGGTATGTATATCACTGTAATGATCCTGTATTGCAAAAGTAAGCAATGCACCCTGCCCATATTTTATTTTAAATTAAAGGTATACTGAGCATATCTGTCTACTGGTGGAAGGGAACAGGTATTTTTAAACACAGATTAGAATACAGAACTAATTTTGTCTGAAATTACAGACAGTTTAGATAATTCATTCTGCCTGTTGTTTTATGTATAGTCTAACTGGTGTAAGTTGACATCTGTGGCTTTCTATGTATGTCAGCTTCCTATTGTAAAAACTTATTAAAGGAATAAACTCAGCCTAAAATCATCTTTACTGTGAGAGTGGTGAAACACTGGAACATGTTGCCCAGAGAAATTGTGGATGCCCCATCCCCAGAAGTGTTCAAGGCTGGGTTGGATGAGGCTTTGAGCAACCTGCTCTAGTGGAAGGTACCCTTGCCCACGATAGGGGTGTTGGAGCTGATGAAACCATTCAATGATTCTGTGATCCTAAACTGTATTACTATTTTGAATGAAAAATTAATTTAACTTCTAAAATTTTAATATTGGTTTCAGCTACTTGATTATTTTCTTAGCCTGAATAAAGAAAACTATGTTCCTGAAGATCACATTCTATGAAACTGTTATTAGCATATTGACTAAACTGACTTGTAGATTTATTTTTTTTTTTATGAGATGCATGTGAGTTGAGAACACACACGTGTAAACAAAACCAAAACATTTCTCTTGGTTTTGCTCGAAATAAGATAAAATGTATCTAGATTGAGTGAGTCAAATGTCATGTGCTTGGTTCATCACTGGTTTTAAATACCATATTCCTACCTACATATACACACAAAAATATACTTGGTAAAATAACTATGTATCGAAGATGTGTAATTTGCAATTGATGGGCTAAATGCATTCCCTAAAAAGAGCACAGATACATAACTTGCAGCAGTGTCACGTAGCAGGTAGATAATTTGACTTTAATGGAACGTCTGAAACTGGTTTCTTTTGCAGCCGCTCCCACTCGGTGTTTTCAATTACCATCCATATGAAAGAAACAACAATAGATGGAGAAGAACTTGTTAAAATTGGAAAGCTAAACTTGGTAAGTATTTGAACTAAGTGGTGTTGATAGCATTCTGAAAGTCATGAACTAGAGTTTGAGGTTTTTTCTGACAAGGGGAAAAATGATTGTTTTCGTAATGTGATATGAGCTATATTTGTCACTCTGAAGAATGTCGGTCCCATTTGTCATCCCGCTGTCTCTTGAACAACACTTCTGCTGTTTTAGGTGTTCTGCAACACCTTGGGCCAAGCATTCTTCAGGGTGGTTTGAGATAGAAGCATAACCTTATTTTCAGGTTGATCTCGCAGGAAGTGAAAACATCGGTCGATCAGGGGCAGTTGACAAAAGAGCTCGTGAAGCTGGAAATATCAACCAGTCTCTCCTGACACTAGGAAGAGTTATTACTGCTCTGGTAGAAAGAACCCCACATATTCCATACAGGGAATCTAAACTCACAAGAATCCTTCAAGACTCTCTTGGAGGACGGACAAAAACATCAATAATTGCCACAGTTTCTCCTGCATCTATAAATCTTGAGGTAAATTTTAAGTCTGAAAATCTATTCCTAAAATAAATAATACATTTTGCTAATGATAAAAAATATGAGTTAAATTCCTCAGCTTGACCTAGTCTCACATCTGTTTTTCCCAGGAAACATTAAGTACACTGGAATATGCCCATAGAGCAAAGAACATAATGAACAAACCTGAAGTCAATCAGAAGCTAACAAGAAAAGCTCTTATTAAGGTACTAGACATACAACTTAACAAATGAAGTTACAGGTTATGTTTGATTTTGTAGTCTTTGCTGTGCAGGAATTATGAGGGTGTGGAGAAGCTGTAACTAGTAGCAGTGCTTTTCTGAAGTGATTTGAATCATTGAACTGGTGCTTTTAAACTGGAGCTGCTCTACTGGTACAGGATTAGTGACTTTGCAGATACTGAAACTGTGGCCAAGACTGAAGCTGAAAAGAGAAAGTTATTGCTACTGCCTGTGGCTCTGTTTGTGGATTACATGTTTACAAGTTATTGGGAAACCACTAAAGGACACTGTTTTTCTTTCTGGAGGAGTTGTATTAGCAGGGTCATTCCCCAAAAAGTCCATAAATTAAAGTGAACTTGTCAGTAAGTATGAGTGAAGAACCAATGTAAAGTAGGTCTCTGCTACAAAGGAAGTTGTGATTCCAATTGTGAGCTGCTAGATGCAACCAAGTATTATTCAAATGGAAGGTTCCAATGCTTTACATATATCCAATAGTATGATTTTAAAGGGTACTGTACTGTACTTAGAACAGAATTAAGTGCTTTGCTCCCATGCTTATGCAAAACTTCTGTAGAGCACTACCTTTGTGAAGTATCTCTTAAGCTAAATATCAAAACCAAATAGAAATTTTCAGGTTTACATGGGATTGTTTCTTTATGCAGGAATACACTGAAGAGATTGAGCGTCTGAAGAGAGACCTTGTTGCTGCACGAGAGAAAAGTGGAGTCTATATTTCTCTTGAAAATTATGAGTATGTCTTCAAAATTTCTGTAAAATGACTAGCAACAAATCTCAGATACTGGTACAGATCTATTTTCACACCAGAAAGCTGAAGGAAAGTCAGGAAAAATTAACTGACTGGTCAACTTGTTCTTTAGAAATTAATTTTTATACAGGTAAAACCTAATAGGCTTGGACTGGGGAATTGATTTATATGTGGAATAATTACCATAAGCATAGCCAGGATGCACATTTACACCATGCAGTCTCTCTTTCAGTGGAAGTTCATACAGGAAAACAAACTTAATATAGTTAACTTCACTTTTAAGAGGGATAGTTTACGTGGAAAGCTTACAATGGAAAATTGTTTTAAATTTTTTCTGTATTAAGTGAAAATTACCTGTTTTTCTTCTAGAAGTTAGAAATATTTATTTTTTTAAATTACTGAAGTCATATTGTAAAAACCTGTAGATAGTCTTGAAATTGCCTCTTACTTGACTAATTTGTTTTAATCTTTGCTTTAGAGCCCTTAATGGAAAACTGACTGTTCAGGAAGAACAAATTGCAGAATATATTGAGAAAATTGGTGTTATGGAGGAAGAAGTGAAAAAAGTAAGTGATGTTTTTGAACTGTTGCTTAAATCTGCCAAAAAATGGAAGAAATTAATTCCTCCTCTCAAAAGGAGGAAAAAAGTTTGAGCAAAGAACAGTCAAAAGATTTTTTTACTCTTTTTTTTTATTGTTTATCTTAAAGTTCCCCTATTAGTCAAGAGTGGAAGCTTCCTAATCCTTGAGTTAGGAAGTTGAAATAGCATATATAAGTTTAAGAGTGCAATATTTATTTTTTACAGCTGTTTTCATGTACGTTACTTTAATTTGCGTTGCTGGATTTTCAGCAAAAAATTTGCTTGTAAAATGGTGTCATCTCAGTTGACAGATACCTGCTTAGGAGCAAAGAATGAGTAGAGAGGGTCATGAGCTCCCATTAACAAATCATATAGAAAATTGAAGCTCCTAGTATAAGAGAAGTGTAGGTATTAATTTGCTGGAATATGTAACTACTCTGTGTAATCAGCTTTACTGACTCTCTTCAGTCTATCTGCTTATATTTGTTCCGTGGGATTTTCTTCCTTGTCCTGTGACAGTGGTTTGCTCTTGTGTTTTGAGTAGGGAAGCAAGGGATTATTTCGATGAGAATGGTATTGGGTTGATATTTTCATTGAATACAAAGACTATACAAACCTCTAGTCTAGGTTTAAGACCTCTAAGTCTTACAGCTGAAATTACATCTTACATCCTGATATTTATTGTTGCATAATTTGAGAGATGTGAAGTGAGACTGTTGAATTTTTATAAAGTGGTGTTGCCCTATTGTGTTTGTCTTCCTCTTTAGATCACTGAACTATTCACAGTTAGTAAAAATGAACTTCAGCAGTGTAAAACAGATCTGCAAATCAAGGAGAAAGAGCTAGAAGAAACACAGAAAGATCTTCAAGAAACCAAGGTTCATCTGGCTGAAGAAGAATATGTGGTTTCAGTTTTGGAAAACAATGAACAAAAACTTCATGGCACAGCTAGCAAGGTTATCACAGTTCTTGCACCTACTATAAAATGGCTTCCTATGTTTAGGAGTTTCGTGGGCTGTTCAGGGAAATCAGTTGTTGCTAGAGCATGATGCAAGTGAGACAAGCTGAATGTAAGATGGAAAACTAGAATTAGAATGCAAGACTTTCTCCGTGGTAATACTGACAGTTGACTGTTAAACACGCTGGTTAGTCTGGAACTAACTTGCTTTCAGGCCAGTTTGTCATGGGAGTTCCAGTGCTTTGCAGTATCTATTACCATAAGTTGTTTTGCAGAATAAGTAGTTTTCTTTTAGAAACTTATGACTGGTCCTACAAAACAGTAAATAATATTATAACTGAGGAACCTGGTCTAGTGGCAGATGTTCCTGCTCGTGGAGGAGGCTTGGAACTTGGATGAACTTTAAGGTCCCTTCCAAGCCATTCTGTGAACTGGAGCAGAAAAATAGCAAAAAGTTTGAATAATGTTGCCCTATCACCTCTGTATTTTAGGATATGGCTTTGATCGGTCATAATTATCAAAACAGACTTGATGTAGGGAGACAGACTGTCCTGCTACTTAAACTGCAAAGTGATGAAATTTGTATCTTTAGGCAACATGACAATTTTTTCTGTTTGGATTCCTGTAAGATTGAAAGGGAATGCCTGGTTTTTGCATATGGGTTGTGGAATGTTTGTGTGAGAAAATGGGTAGGGAAATAATATGTGCTGACTACTAAACCAAGACCCTACTATTTTTATGAATTCCAGATTATTTCAGAACTAGTACTGGAAACTGCTTGCTTGACTACTATATTAAAGAATATAGTTATTGTCAGATTGTTCAGAAAAAAAGTTGAAATGGTCAGGAATTTTTCAGTTACTGTTCTGGGATAGATGGTACCTTAATTCCTTAAATATTGAGGATGTAATTTATTAATGCTTTGGCTTCAAAGCCAGAACAAATGATCTCTAGTAAGTAACTTTTTCCCATGTTCTAAGACCATAAATGACATAGCACTAAGATTCAGAACAATTGTAATTTGATAATGTAAGGGGAAATATCTTTCTAGAGAGGGAACTTCTCTAGCTCAGAACTATTATTGATTTTCCTTATATAATATGTGCTTGACTTCTTGTTTAAACACTGACTAAAATAACTTTAAAATTTATAGTTACTTAGTACAGTTGAAGAAACTACAAAAGATGTATCTGGGCTTCATGCGAAACTGGACCGTAAGAAAGCTGTTGAACAGCACAATGCTGTTGTCCAAAATACATTTGCAGTGCAAATGAATGCTTTGTTCAACAAAATACAGGATTCACTTAGTGAAAACAGTTTGAAGCAGCAACAGATGTTGACATCTTACACAAAATTTATAGGTAAGTATAATACCTTTATCAGTAAGATAGGTAAATTTTATAGGTAAGTCTAATACCTGTATCAGTAGTCATCCTGAATTTTTGCAATAGTAGTCTCAAAGACTGCTTCCTAAAATGGGCCTATTTTAGGAAAGTGGAAGAGGCTTTATTTTAAGCAATGTAATGATTACAGTTGCACCATTAATAATGTGTCTGGAATCATCAACAGCCTTCCTGTGCTGTAAGAGACAATAAGGTGATGAGCAATAAAAAAAGTTCCTATCTTACAGGGGAAATCTTAAAAAAATTTGTAACTCTTCTTGATCTCTTTTGTAGGTGACCTCTTGTCTACCAGTTCTTCAACAGCTGATATTCTTGCATCAGTTATGTCAGCAGCTTGTGCCTCTGTTAAAGAATTGGTGTCTACGGAAATTTCTCACGTGTCTGAAAAAATAACACAACATGAGAATCTATCACTGGATTGTAAAGCTGAGCTGCTGAGATTAATTGTTAGTACACTTACATACTCTTATGCTACTTAAATATATGAAACTATTATTGATCAAAAGGGAGTTCTGTAAATATTATATAGTTTTTCTGATGCTCTTTACTTGTATCTGCTTCAGCACTTGACCACTATTATATCCCTCCCTGCTTCCTCTCCCATGTTACAACTGCAAGTTGTAATGTAGTATGTAGCAAATACTGTCATAACAGAGTACATGGATATGTATATAGATAGCTTTTTACAAATGTAGATGAAGGAACTGCCATCTTATGTTTTACTTTTTGTTTGTTTGGTTTTTTACTGCTGTTCCTAGGAGGAACATGAAACTGGTTTAGGAAGAGCGTTAAATAGCTTGACACCGGTGGTGGAATTTGTCATGGGGTTAAACTGCCAGTTTCAGAGTAACATGAAGAAATACTCTGCTGTGGCTGACCAGGTAATGCACATAACTTCTCACTTGTGTTCTTCTATTTTATTTAATTTACAGATAATATGTTCTTTGTTTTTCTGCAGTGTGTCAGAGTTTTTCCACTTCTGGTCTGTCCTTTTTGCCTTTATCCTATCCTATGAGTTCTGCCTTTTAACTCTTCCTTTCAGACTTCTTTTTCTGCTTCTGAGTGTGGTAAATTTGCTCGTTACCTATATTGGCATAACTGCTCACCTAAATGCCTCAGTCGAATGGTAAAACACGGATGCTTAAATCTGTATGTAACAAATATTTGATAATACACATAATATACTCTCCACTGTATTTTAGAAATCTGAAAAAGAAAAATCAACTTATCACTCCTATTTTTTTTCTGCTGTCGTACCCAACTTTTTCTGTAGTCACTTTGATTCCTGGAGAATGTGATGCTTTATCTTGTTAACAACCATAAGTGCAAACAACACTGCACTTATTGAAGTCCTTTGCAGCCCTACTCTTTCATTTATTTTTTTCCATTTTGTTATAAACAAGTCTTTGTTTCTGGTGACCCCTTGTTCTGACTGAAAAACTTTCCCCTTCTGCCAATTACAGCTCATGTGAAATCAACTCCCCTTGTCTAAAGGCTTTCTATTGGTTTTCAGACTTAGGCAGCAAGTAGTCCATGGCTTACCAGCTCTTTCTGTACTTTGTCTGCTTTTCTGTTTTGTCTACTTTGCATGCCAGATTTTGTGTTTGGAATAGCCCATACCAAGTTCCAGTCTCAAACTTCAGATTTCTCCAAGTGTTATTTTCCTCCTTTTATGCACAATACCTTATTAATGCCTTTTGACAATTTGCTTGGAGTAGAGTTTGTTTCTGTATCAATTATGCTAGGGAAAAGTATCCATTTCTTAAGTAAAGGCAAATATCTAACTGTAATTTTTTTTTTCAAGATGGAGGCCCATAAATGGGAAATGGATACCTTCTTTGGAGATCTTTCTCTCACTCTGAAAAAAATACGTGAAGAAGTGGACAGTGGTTTTGCTGAGCTTCAGCATAATTGTGATGATTTAAAAGAAGAAGTGGAAATGACGAGATTGGCACATGCAAAGGTATCCTTAGAGAAAGAATTCCTAACACCAAGTGTGATTGCTTGCTTTGATTTAAACTCTTTGTAGTAGTAAATCATTATACTTATATAAGGACAATAACTTGATCTTCTCTGACAGAAACTTATTCTTTTCAGGTTTTGTTAGGCTGCTTTAAGTCATTTATGTAGGAAGGTAACAAAAAAGACTTCCCCCTCCTGTGGGCCTGTTTAGTATATGTGTTTACATATATCTCCAAAAGCAAAATGTCTTTATCTTGGCTACACAAAAATTGTACCTTCTGCTTTAGAACTGCAAAACTTTTATCTGCTGCACTTTTAATACAGGTATTCAAGTACCCTCTAAGAATGTTAAAAAGTGCAGAATAACAGTAAAATTTGTGGTATTTTTCTTAACAGAGAACAGCTGAATTCATGTCCTCACTGCAAAGCCAGCTTGACATGTTTGCTCAGGAGACTCAGAAGAACTTAACTAATGTACTCACGAAAAATGGAAGCTTGAAGACCACCATCACTGCTATGCAAGAAAATGTTCACTTGTAAGGAGCTGATTATTTTTGCTGTACACTGATGCAGGATAAAACTATACATGAAGAGAACTTCAAAATTAGATGCTCCTCGTATTTATGTTCTTATAAAGTCTTTTGAACGAGGTCTGTATGTTACAGCTGAGTTCTGCCACAGAGTGTAGATCGTAGTTTTCTCTGGGATCATCTTTCCCCAGAGTAAACTAGCTCTACAATGCTTTTCCTCAAACTTCTCTCCTGAGCATGTTGCAGATAAGAGACTGTCATTTTAGGAGCAATATTCTGATGAATGTCCCTCAGTGTCTGGACTTCAGAACATCATATCATAAAGTCTTGAAGCATAATGTATCTATTGCAGCATGCTTCATTCAATTGTAGACTGAACAACGAAGGTGTTGCCAGTTGCTGTTTTTAGCTTGTGGTTGGGGTTTTTTGGTTCTAGTTTGGGGGTTTTGTTTGGTTTTTAACAAATCTACTCATCCTACTGCAATTTATATATTTACTAAAAGAGCAACAAGGTTATAGTTAACTGCTTTGCTAAAATTGTACTGTTTTGCTGGTTCCAGTCTCAAATATTTCTAAATGTAGATTGTGATTAAAATCTACCTTTCAAAATTTCTGAACTCTTACAAATATGTTGTTGCAGGAAAACTACAGACCTAGTTAGCAGTGCAAATTCCAATCACAGCAAATGTACTACATCTCTGGATAATTTCTCTCAAGAGCTCAGGGGCATAAATGCTGAAAGTAAGATGATGCTGGAAGAATCCAGTGACCACTGTCAACATCTCCTCAGCAATCTCAAGGACGTGTCTCAGGACACCAGAACCTGGTGTGAATTTACAACTGCTCAGGTGGTCAACTTTACTGATCAGCACCTATCATCCTTCAATGATGAGAAACAGCAGTTTCAATGTTTACAAAAGGTACTTATAGTAATTTGTAATCTAATGCAACATTATGAGACAAACTTTTACTGTAGAATTTGCAGGGAGGAAAGAAATTCTCAGTTACAGTCAGAAGAAAATTGTGGCTTTATTACAGCAGACTCATGTTACTGAGCTTAGATGCAATGAGAGGAAATAAAAAGCTTAAGTTAATAGGAAGACTTTGGACTAAAAGTGCAAATAACCTCAAAAATGGTGTTATGATTAATGCCATGCAGTTAACTTGCATTTTCATCATCTTGATAGTATATATCTCTAATTCTAAAGCTTTATCTACAAGTAACATCTCTGGGAGATCTGCACAGGCTATATTCTGGAGGATGCAAATGACTCTTAGTCAGATTGAATTAACATGGGAGAAAGTATTCCTTTTTGGTATCTACAAGTTCTGACTTCTTATCTGAGAATTTCTCTCTCAGGTTTTTCGTTTTATTAATTTCCATCACAAACTTCACTTCCCACTCTTCTTCTTTTATTGTTGTAATAGGGAATGAAATAGGCAAATCCAGCATTTTGCTTTCTTTCAGAAAGAAAAGCTTAACTGGAAACTCTTTGCACAGAGTCACACAGAATATTCTGAGTTGAAAGGGACCCACAAGGATCACTGAGTCCTTAACTCTTAACTGTTAAAAACATTTGCAGTCTCAAGACATCTCTCTATCTGTTGTACCTGCTGAACACTTCAGAAGTTTTATTTCAATGAGAATGGCTAAAAATGCATATTTTCCCCTTCCTCCTACAAATGCATGAAGCTTCTAGAGCTTGTAGGATGTCCACTTCCAATTGAATATCGTAATCCTTCAGGGTTGTGCATAGAAGCATGAGGAGTCTGATCAGAATTAGATGGCATCATCTTTATGAGTAGCTTTTTAAAATGATCATACTTTCTAAGAAACTGACTCTCTTGTGAAGATAGTTCTCAAAATGAGAGTGTAAAACTGGCACTGAAACTTCTCAATTTGACATCTCAGTTGTTTCGTTTCAGATCATGTCACTAATCATGCACTGCATCTTAGAAGAGAGGCCATAATCTTACCTTTCCTGTTAACTTGATGTTTTTAACTGGATTGTTTGTTTGTTTCATTTTCAGAAAAGTGAAGAACACTGTGATAAAACAACAGCTGAAATTGCTGACTGCAGTAGTAGACAAGTGGCTGCTGAGGGGAAGGTTCTCAGTGGCTTTCTTGATCAGATAAAGGTGGATAAAGAGATACTTCTGGAGCAGAAGCTGGCACTTAGCAACGAAGTACAGCATGGACTAACTCAGGTTAATGGCTTCCTGCAAGAGGATCTGAAAGTGGATATTCCAACAGGTATTTAAAGTAGGTCAGGGACAGAAGGTCTTACCGAAAGCAATTTGAGTTCCAGAATTTGTAAGTGAATCTCAATGGGGACATAATATAGCTGGCAGCCTTACACCTTTTCTTAACATGTGTGCAAAGAATGGTGACTGAACAAAGCATGATTTCTGTATTGAGTTAATGTAAAATTGAGGATCTGAAATTAAAGCACTGAATGCTGAAAGCATTTAGTAGTGTACACTGATGAAAGGCAATCTTCATTAAAGGGACAACTCCACAGAGAAGAGACTACTTCTATCCAGTCACACTCATGAGAACAGAGCCACGGGAACTTCTACTGGAGCAATTAAGGCAAAAGCAATCTAAGCTTGATGCTATGCTAAGCAGCATGACAGAGGAGATGGAGGATAGTGCAGGCCAGGTATGTATATGAACAGCAAATGAGGCTCTTGAATGAAGATTTCACATCTTTGAGGTTTTTAATGCCATTGTGGAGAGTTGACTAGAATTCCACAGCTGTTGCAGATTTTGTTTTACAGTGTACTTGGAGTCAAGTATGCTGAGCTTTTGATAAAAACATTCTCTTACTTAAAAATAAGCAATAATATTAATAATTTCTGTTTTTCAAAAATGGAAATTCTATGTCTTTTATAGATCTGATCATGCTTAGTTTATTCACTGAAGAAATTCGGACATTAAATACACTTTTCTGAAAAATTTCTGTTTTAGGACCTGTTGGAAGAGGAGGGAGGGTTGCAAGAATCCAGTGAAAGCCTTGCTAGCGACAAATGTTTAGTGGATACAAACGTATACTGCCACACAAATGGTGGTATTCCTTTTTTCCAGGTAAAGTCCACAGATATTCAAAACAACTGTGTCTTTAAGAGTGAAGAAAATTAATTTTCCATAATAATGCTGTAGTTTCAAGTCACTTCTTGTAATTTAGTGTAGTCTCATAGCTTCTTTAAATCCTGTAGAATACACTTTGCTAAACTTGAGCTAAAGTCACAGCAGATTCTGATGACAGTTTAATACTGGATAAAATAATGCAGATTTCTGACAAGCTGGACAGAGAGTTGAAAATTCGTCAAATAGTCCTGCATGAAAAAAATTGTCATAACTTGCTAGACAAACATATTGTATTAATGGAAAAGTTGAAAGTTTGTGGAGGGTTTTTTGATTTTTTTTTTTTGATTTTTTTTTTACTTGCTTCTGACCCTTTTGCTCTACTAATGTATCAGCATAAACTCGTTGGTATATTTGTCTAGGGGTTGGCTGGCTGGGGTAGTATGTTTTCCTGTTGTGGATCCTTTAAAAGCAGCTGCTGAGCTTCTGTGTGTCTGCAGTAAATCTCTTCAGTAAATGCAATATATTAGGAACCTTTTTCAGGAGTTCTACCAACTTTTTTTTCTCAGAACCCTATGTACTGTACTGTACATGAGCAAGAAGTCTTTTCTTTGTATTTCTCTTAACATTGGGTATTCTCTTTAAATCCCAGCAGAGAAGTCGTCGCAAAAAGGGTAAAGAGAACAAATCTGCAGCTACAGTGGAGAACAAAATGGAGGACACGACAGAAGAGTTTCTTCATGAATCCAAGCATCCCTTAAGATTGCTGAACTAAGATATATCTATTGCAAATTCCTGTTTTTAAAAATTTCTATCTCATTGAATTACTGAGCCATAATGTTTTTGGTTATTCTTGGTCTCTATTGTGATGCAAAGTTGAATCAAAAGATTGGCCTGCTAGATGTCATGCCTTTGTCCCATTTTTATATGCTATGCTCATAACTTGCAATGTATTAAGGAAAAAACCCCTGCACATTGTGGTGCTGTTATGTTAAATATATTTCTGTGTGCTTAAGTAAGATATCATTTTCTGTTTCTCAGTAGATTTAAAACACCAGAAAGGGATGTTGAAATATGCTTTGTCAGCATTATCAACTACCATTTTATATATGAATCAACTGTAAAAAAGTGTTCTGGTTTTGTACCTGCTTTTTAATCCAGTCGCTCTCTTTGATACTTCAAATAAATTTTGATATACGGAAAACAAACATATAAACACCTCAGTGAAACAAACTTACCTGACTTTTTTATATTACCATAAGAATAAGATAATACACTTAATTTAGCTAAAACATTAGCAAGTCTCTCTTAAATCTTATGCTGTCAGAAAAGGATAGTTCTCTCCCTTGTTTCATAATAGACAATAACTTTATTTCAGTGTCTCTTCACTCTGTGAAAGCTGAGTTGTGGGGGTTTTGTTTGTTTGTTTGAACCCTACTGTTCTTATCTTTCTTTTAACCTGCAGCTGTGAGGTGTTGGCTGGGGTACAATGTCAACCAGAGCTTGTGTATCATAGACTGGCAGCATTTCTTTTGAGATCTAGATACTGAATGTTAAAACATGAAAACTTGGTTACAAATGCAGCTTCTATGTTGTATAATAACAGGGTATTTCCACTAATTGACAGTAGCAGTTGGACCAGCTGCTCTTTTCATGCTCCTTACATGGAAATTTGAAGAAAACTTCAAGCTACAAAGAAGTAGATGAATAGGATTATGATAGGAATAGGAGATGCTGGATGGCAACTGTTATTTACATTGAAGCACTATTCTTAGGTAATGGTCCAAACATTATTTAAGAGATTGTTCACTTTTCTATATCCAGCTTGCAGGCTTAAGTTTCTTCAAATAGGTGGTCCATGTATTTATTTGTCTGTAAGCAGGTATACCCTGGACACCATTTGGACAGCACACTGCAATCCTCGTGCTAGAGAGAGAGAGAGATGATTTCAAGTATATCCTTCTACTGATTCTCTGAACTCTAGCATGAGAGAGGCCATTAATAACTTGTGTTTGCCTGAAACACCTATCTTGCCTCTTATTTATCCTCTCTTGCTGCTGTGGGCAAAGCTAATTGCTTTCTGACAGCCTAATAGGAGGAAAACCATTAATTCCCTTTCAAATCTATAAGAAACACAAATACGGTTTTGTTTTGGGGTTTTGGGTTTAATTGGGGTGGGAGTGTTATATTATCTTAGTACTCGGAGAACAAATTCTCTTGCTCTTGAAATACTGGAGGCTGGGGGGTTTTCTCTTTCAGAGCATGCTTGGTGTATTGTCAAATTCTAGCACCAAAAATTTCATGGGCTTAATTCTCTGGGGCCTAGGATACATTTTCTTACACCGTGGGCCTGTTAACACTGACTAGATATTAGCACAATCTTCCATGATGGTTCAAGAAATCATTTATTAACTAAAATTGAGCCTGAAGGGTTGCTCCTATGGCTGTATGGAATGGTCTAAACCAGAGGGGAGAGGCTCGTGCAAGCCTTTCACCCTACTACATTTTCCCTGTAGAGTTCACAGGATTGGTGTGAACCAACTGGAATAGCCAGTACCTGAGGAGGCTTGCTTCCCCAAAATCATGAAGGATTTTGTGCCTCCTGTCTTTATCCTCTTTGAAACTGTCTCCTCTACCTTGGCTGTGTGGTTTGCCCTGGTACAGGCACAGGCTCCTCTCCTTAACAGCTGTATGAATTTTGGAGGCTGCTTGCCTACTTTCTCTTTTCCTAAAGCAGCCCTTAGAGTCATGTTGTCTTTTGTTTGCAATACTGGCGACGACCTGTCGATCACTGTTTCGTTGGCCCAGGTATCCAGAGGTCACACCGGAAAGCCAAGTCGGATGAAAAATCCATATGCTGAACGTGTCCCGGGCTCTCTGCCCATGCCTCCTCTCCCACTAGATGGCCCTAACACTAAAGGTTGGTCCGAGCTCAGGTACTGCCTGCTAACCAGGACTTGGAAATAAGGATTTTTCCAGGCTTTCTGTCAAGCATCCGTTGAAGAACGTGTTTCAGAAGCTAGCTAACATCGAATTTATGCTTCCACATGGAGAATTCCATACTCAAGCTTCGGAAAGGGGTTGTTTTATGAAGTGCCATGCTTGTGAAAAAGATGATCCAATGTATGTCTTGAGCTTTGCTGCAGGGCCAGTAGATACTCTTGGTAAGTAAATTCTTGTCCTGGCCTGGTTTCTGGGTTCCCCACCATGTGGGCATTGCTCAAAGTAGAAAGCAATGCTTACAATGTATGACAGAAAGAAAAGGAGCATAGGAAAAACAAAGCAAAAATTGTTTCTTGTATGCAGTCAGCGGAATTGTAGATTTAATCCAGAGGGAAAAAGTGGCATGGGCCAAGCTAGTTTACATGGGGGTTTGATTTTATTCTGGTATAAGGCATCCTGTACAAGAATGGTATGAAGCCGTTTCCACAGAGTAATTAAAATGTTCTAATCCCTGACTGACCTAATCCAGCTGAGCACGAGGGAGAGTTGTAGTGACTGGGGCTGTAGCATATGGCTATGTTCTAATTAACCTGATGAGTATTTTTGGGATTCTAAATTAATGGCTGAGACAGCTCTTGATTTAACAAACAACTTACATAGAATAAATGCAATGTGGGGAAATGAAATAAGGAAAAATATGTTTAAATGCATGTAAAGGGGAAAATGCAGAGAGAGCAATAAGAGGGCCACAAGAAGCACAGATAATTAAAGTCACCAGCTTGCTTTTCAAGGAGGACATGGAGGAAAGGAAACTTCCTGCTTCCTCCTGGAAATTGGGGAGCTGGGGCACTTTCTGCATCAGAGTTGTTGGGGGTTGCAATGTTTATTTGAAGAGAAAGAGGAAGACTAAGCTGACTGGCTGCTATTGATGGCTGCCTTTATTTTGGGTATCAAACAATTGCATGAGGCTACAGAGGAGTGAGGAGAAGGTGCATAGTTGCTAGACTGCTTTTCTTTTTCCTGTTAGGTGTCAGTTACCATTGCAATTAGCTGTTAAATGGGCAGAGGAAACAGGAGGAAACCTTTAACTCTTTGGAGTGATAGAAGAAAAATAAAGCTAGAAAGAGGTGGAAAAATAAAATTTAATGTTCCTTTTCCATGAAAAGTAGATTGAAGGGGAAAAAAGGAAGAGTTCTAATGTCTGAAAGCATTAAAACCAGGAAAATAAATATACTTAATAACTACATATTTTAAAATTTATACATTTTAAACAAGTGTTTACAGCTATTTGACTACTATTTTTTTTCTTTCCCTGTTGCTAACTACTTTTTATGACAGAGGGCAATGTTCTTTAAACTGTACGCCCAACAATGCCACTACTTTATAAAGTTAAATAACAATAAATGATGCTAGGCTTTGCATTAGTAAGCTTTAAGTGACATGGTACTGTAGGTGAGATGTAGACCCAGTAGCAAAGTAGGCTGTTCTTGTAGGCTGAACATAAACTCCATCTACAGCAGCATTGCTACATAGCTCAGTCTTGAAAATGTTAAAAGTACGAGCACAGTGAGTGCAGCAAAGGAATATTTAAATCCCTACATTCAGAATACTTCTCAAATCATCTTTGGCTCCCTAGAAAAGGATCTACCTACCAAAAGGAGGGCACATGTTACAGCTACACAAGTGCTCTTCAGACAGCTAAAAAGGAGCAAATACTTGGTCTAGCAGTCCCTCGTCATGGAAGAAGTTAGAAACAGGCTGTCATTTTTATATCAGATCTGAAAGTTGTTCCATATTTCCAGCTTTCTAAAACTTTGAGACAATTCAGTTTTCAGGTAGCACAAAGTCAAGTTTTTTAAAATAATGGAGATTAACTGGATTACTTTCTTTTTCTCCAAAATAATAAACCTATATAAATGTTCCCTTGACTTCCTTAGTTATACTGAAATGCTTTTGTGACTCTTACTCTGTTCCTAACTTAAGCATTGTAATTCAAAGAATGAGGCAAGACTAAAACTTTGAACTTGACTAGTGCATTTCCTTTATTAAAAATTATCAAGTGAAGGGATGAAATAAGCAAAAATATCGCATAAAAGTACATTAGATTCCTTCAGAGCTTTCCAGTTCCTGTTGACATATATATAGTTTTTATTATAATTTTATTCTGACGATATCCAGAGCACTAAAGCTAGTATGTGAAGATTTTTTTCTTGTGATAAAGAGTTGTATTTTCATTGGCAGAAGTTAATTTAAAAATTTTTTTTTCTTAATTAACGAAGTTGTTTAAAGTGAAAAATACCAATTAGCAGAAAAGACTATATGGTCTTTTACCATTTTTAAAAGAAATTATATACATATCATTAATGTATTTAATTAATAATTACATGTCTTACATGGTAAGACAGTTCCATTCCTCCTCATCCATTAAAGTTATAATATTGAATGCTGCTTCTCTGAGAACTGATTTCCCCACTGTGCAAGTCCAGTCTTCCTAATTTTGCTACAGTCACTTGATTTATAGTAAAGTAGTAAGATGAAGGACCAGAATCTCCATTTTCCAAAGTATACACTGAGTTGACAATGATTCTTAAAAAACCCAAAGAACAATTTAAGGCCCTGTTTGGTCTCTATGGCCAAAAGATTTCATGGTATTTGGAAGGGTTTGCCTAGGCAAGCCTGGAAGTTGTTTTCATCCCTTGTTCTGCATGTTCTTTCACAGGTACTTCAAGCATACCTGCTTCCCCTACTTTGTTAAAATGACTTTGGGATCTTTCAGAATAGGTAGGATGTTATTCTGCTGTTAAAAAACCCAATGTCAGTTGAAGCTGGCACTGACTGCAGTGGCCACTGTATCATGCCAGTGTCCTTAGGCAAAGTGTGTATCACAGGAGGAGAAACTTTTTAAATCTCCAGTGGCACAGATATCCCCTCTCTTCTGGTACATCATGCTAATCTGAGCACCACTGCTCCCAGTTTGAAAGTAAAAACTTGTAAACATGTTTCTAAGAGAATAAATTACAATTTGGGGGAGTTAGGAGGTTAGGTTTTTTTGTTGTGGGAGTTCTTTTTGTTTGGGTTTTTTTTATGTTTTGTTTTGGTTTTTGACACAGAAGAGCTTAAGTAAGGCCTGCTATATATAGACTGTTTGGGGAAACTGGTTTTTCACATTTCAATTAGTTTCCCCTAACACTCAAACTAAAACCTAAGCAGCATTGTCATTATGTTCAAAAGGTAAAAGAAGCAAAGATGTGAATCACTTATCATTTGTTATAGCCACCATTTTCTATTACTTAATTAAAATATGACATTAATTTCAAAACCATTCAGCTATAGATACATATTTAAGTGGTTATAATATAATAATGATAGGCGCCAAAATTTTGTTCATTTGCTCTAACAGTTTATTTTAGGAAACTCAGTCCAGCAGAATGAACCTTGAATATACAAATTAATGCAAGGAAGGAAATTTTATGATGTCTGTTAGTTAATATAGAAGCCAATCTTATTAATCATGGATTTACAGAGGGCTGTTTTATTAGATGTTAACCATAGCTTATGTTGACAATTGATTTTCATTGTAGGACAACTAAATTTATTATTTGTAAAAAGATAAAGATAATTAAATTTACTTTATAAAGGTTGCTATCATAAATGTTAGTACCTGTGAACAGCAAACATAAAACTGCCTTAGCAGCAAAAATTCATTTAAGTGATAGGTGCTTTCCATTACATTTAATAGTCCTTGAACATTTTTAGCCTCCATTTTATTTTCCACAGTTTACATCTACTGCTGTGAAAAATTGTTTGTGTTGAAGCCTCACTTTCAGCTTATTTTCTTTAAAATAAACCAGAATCAAAACATTTTTAAAGCTATAGAAGTAAAACAAAATAAAATAAAGCACTAAATACAAATGTATAATGCAATGGAGTTTTGTCCTGTCATTTCTCATATTTGTCATTAAATTATTCAGCCTATGTTGAAAAGTATGTTGGATCTACAATAAAATCTGACACCGAGGGAGTTTTACTAATTAAAAAGAGTAATTATTAAGGAAGTTAATTTGGACTTTGCAAAAACGAGAATACATGGAACATATTTAATATTTTTTAATTGTATTGTTTTTATGATATGTGTCTCTCCATCCCTGAATACCATCTGTCCATCAGGGTACAATCCTTTGAAAATGTGGAGGAATACAGCAAATGTTACAGACTTGGAAAAGCACCTAAAGTAATATCTTCAAACCTAGTGACAGAACATTCCTGAGCTTTGACAATGTGAGAACTGTACAGTACAAACGTGACTCTATCGGAATGCTTACAATATATATAATATTAATCTTTGGTTTCTAGTTCTAATTTGCTACAACATTACAGGCTTGTGATTTGTTATTGCTCCTTTGGTGTTTTGGACCTGTAATGGAAGGAAAGAGGAAGTACTTCAGGATGATGTTCTAAACTGTGGAGACTGAATATTCGAGAAGTTGAGATTTTTTAATGAAATAGAGCTGGCTGGAGTATCTTTGTATTATTAAAGCTAATTGCGGTCAGTTCTTTGATGGTTTTGCGGCTTGTGGAAAGAAGGGTTAGCCAGATGTCGGAATACAGAGGACGTGAGCAGCACATCACAAGAAGTACAGCTTAGCAGAGATGGCTGGCTGCTGGGCTGCAACATAGATGCTGACCCAGCGTGTCTGTTATATTCAGTTCATAACATGGCAAATGGGTTTAGTGCCGAGAGCAAAAACCACTTTCTCTGACAGAAGAGCTAGAAAACATTTTGTGTCCACTGTATTTTGGATGCTTTGTAGTTCTTGGGTGGACACTCCTGATGATTTGACCTCAGAGCTCTTTGCTTCTTGCTCTAAGGGAAAGTACGAATCTTGCACTGCCAGGACCTAAGCATTACAGAGAAATTCCTCACTTCTATGGCATTCCTGCTGTGTGAACAGCCACAGAAATCCAGCCAAAAGTGAGTACCCACTCCGAGTGA